AGGCTATATATTGTAAAAATTATCAGAAGAGGCGACATAAATAAGTCTCCCATAAAATCTTTCTATGCCCTACTCTATCAAGTAAGACAAACAGATAACATACGTTTTTGAAATATATCAGGAGCATTGTGAAGTTTAATGACATCCTTTTAAAGGTAGAAGTTTCATAGAAGCTTGTAAAAATTATCTTTTCTTGATCTTCAGATGCTATAACAATTTGGTTATACCCCGAACAACCATTTTAAAAATAATAAATAAATGCCTTGCTAATTTATAAAGCATTTGATTAAATAAATGGCGAAAAAAAAGGATATTTTCTTGTGGCTTTATTTATTTATTTATATTCTATACAGACACTAGTAGGAATGAATGCATTTTTTTTTCAAGTTATCGTAGTCATCTGTCCTTTTTAAGGTACACCACGGAATAAATTAACCCATGAATCATCAAAAATAGGATAAATAATTCTAGAATCCAATTATTTCAAAATTTCTTCACAACTTTTCTAATAATTGGATTTAACCTTCTTTGTGATTTATTTTTAATTTTAAAATAATCTTTCATTAAAATTTTATGCATACATACGTAATGATTAAACTTATAGCTGTAATTGTTTAACTCAAAAGTTTTTTTTTTTTTTTTTAACCAGAAGTTTTTTCTTATTTGACTTCTCAATACTCATAAGTTTTTCTTCTTGAACATCATCTAATTTTGAAGAAATGAACTTGAGTAAAATTCATGAATTCCCTAGAAATGCATGCCTAAGATATTTTGCCAAATATTTCTACTTCAAGTCAGTTGCTTCTATAACATATGATTCATAGGCTATGCTAAAGAGGATGTATCTAGGATTTTAACTTTTTCTTTAATGGTCCTCAGTGTAGCCTCTAAAAGCTTTATCTTTCATTTTATCTATTTCATTTGTCACTAAAACTTGTTCTAAAATGTTCATTCCAAGGTTTTATTTATCGTTTTGCACATCTACTAGATTAATTCTAGAGCATTCATAACTCATTGAGGAATTGTAATGATTTAAAAATATGAAATGTCACTTTTTGATCTTTGACTCTCATATTATTATACATCTATCATAGTCAGCCTTGTTATAAAAAATAGTCTTCCTAAGCAACTATTTGGTTGCTGAAAAAGATACGTGGTGTAAAAAAAATGCTGCATCATTGTTTTGAGTACTTTAGAATTGTTTGATTTAGTGTAAAATAAATGCACGAGTTTATATTTTGTTGTTTGGTTTAAAAAATGAAATCAATATAAAGTTTACTCGGTTGTGGCGACGACAGCTGATAGTGATCGATGGTCGGCTGCGGTGATGGTGGCTTCTGACCTGCAACGTGTGAGTAGTGGATGTAGGCGGTGACCAACTTGCAGTTGGCAAGGGCGGCAATGGCTGACTGGGGTGGCGGCGGTTGTTGTGCTACTGGTAGCCAGTGTTTTGCGGGCGACGACGGTGATGGGCAACAACAACAACAACAAAGCCTTAATCCTACTATGTGGGGTCGGTGATGGGCAACACTTTATACAGTATAGCGTATTTGGAATTCATTCGAAACTAATAAATTCCAAATATATTAAAATTGAATTAGAGAATGAATATTAAATGCATTGTAATTTTACACTGTACTTTCTTCTTTTGACAAAACATCAGGATTTTAAAAAATGCTGTAAAAGAAATGCAATGCACTTTTTCTACTTTTGACCAAACAACCCCCAAGCTGATTGAATTTTCCCCATATGTTCAAAATAATAAAATCAATTGAAAAGATAAACTTATCCATCTTTAATAATATATTTTCAACGCCCTATTTCTCTTGTCCTTCTCTTCCACATACTTCTCACTTTCTCTTTCTTATCACATGATCTTCCTTAATTCCTCTCTCATTCAGTTTCTTTCTCTGGCCAGCAAACCCTCTCATCCCATTAGCATCTTTGATGACACTTATTCCCAACTTCTCTACTCCCATCGACCTTGAGCGGAATTTGATATCTCCGTCTCCATTTACCAGGCCTATCACTTGAAAAAGCATAGTTTAAGATAGCTCCATTTGAACCAAACTGTTGTATTTCGTGATTTTTCTAACATTTCGGTTTTCATTTCTATTTAACCTAATGAAAAAAAAAAGACCCAATTTTAAGAGAGGATAAGAACTCATCAAGTTAACTTGAAATCAATTTTATTTTAAATCAATTGGTATCTATGTTGAATATTCTTGTTGGTAATCATATCTAAACCCTAAACTAAATCCATATGAAGTTCTTCCATCTAGTTCTTTGACATTGGCTAAGCTAAGAAAATTGACAATATATAAGATGCACCGATTATACACCTATGATGCATCATAAAAAATAAAAATCAGTCGTGGAGTTCAAAATTTGCCTTTTTAGATGGGAATTGACATTATGAATTTATTGTCATGTTCTATACACATCTATTACTCTAAATGGTAACAATATAAGAATGCACTATGATGATTAATAGAAATATTGCCTAAAAGTACTTAAATGAAGCTACCAAAGAATTATATTACTCCCATTATCATCAAAAGTCTCATCTATTTTATAGATTAACCTGAAGTCATATCAGTGTCATCACTATGGATCTTTTGATGATTATGCATACATTTGTCTCTTCATTCTATTCCAAAACAATTTATCTTGATTGTAGATCATGCTATACACCAAGTCCTCTATATCTATATCTCTCTCCTAACTGCATGAAACTCTCTTAACACTCAATCTTCCCTCTTTCTTTCTGCACGTCCAATTTATGTCTCTTTAACTCACAAATTTCTCTCCTTCAATCAGTCTTTCTCGTCACGTTTATTTCGCTGAACCTACTGTTAATTCATTATCTCCTACTTTTGATCATAGAAATATTACATGAAAACGCTTTTAAAGGTTTGCTCTTTAAATCAAACTTCTATATTGCTTGATTTCTCTAAATGTGAGGTTCTTTATAATTCCCTTGCATCTAAAGAAAAATCCTAGACAATTTCAAAGGAAGAATAAAGAAGATGAAGAAAAAAGACATCAAATTTTCATTTTCAAATTACCCTGAGATTTTCATCTACTTGTCTATCAATTTTATATTCAAGTCCACTTTGACTTTGTAAGCCATTAATCTTATTTGAAAGATAGAATCAATTAGAAGATTTAGGTTGATTTGATTGCAGAAAGTTAGGATTATTAATGATCTGATCACGAGCTGATCTGACCTTGTCTCAAGGTTGACTCGTTGTCATTCAATTTGATCTCAATTCTAGCAAAGTCTTGTTATCGGTTGGATGTGATGTGATGAAAGACAATTTGTGGTTTCAATATCTTGAATGACGAGCTTATCCACTCCAGCAAAAACAGTGCCCCTTACCTAAACATTATGATGCGTGCACTAACTCAGAAAAAAAATATTTAGTGCAAATTGAATAATTTTATATTTAAGCTTTAGGTACAAATTTATAAAATGAATGAACTATATGTGATTTTGAATATTTTGATTAAAAAGGGATACAATATCTTGCATGTGTAATGCTAACGCCCAATATTTTGTGGATTTGTTTGGGGAAATGAAGAATTTTATGTTTTTTTCAGTTTTTGTAACATTGAATTCAATTTCATTCTGCCAAAGGCTGTGTTAAATACATTAGTACTAAAAAACTTCAAATTTTACATGCTAATGAGTTTTAGCATCCACTCGTCTTTTTAGTAAAATGACCAACATCAAATATTTCACAAAAACTCGGACCTTTTTCTTCTCCACTTTAATGGCAAGATAGTAATATCTGTAAAAATGGCCAATTTTTCATCATGCATGGTCATGGACTCATCTTCCTACTTTTGATGTCAAATGACAAACCTCCAAATTTATTCTGATCAAAACGTCAACATCCATTCTTATACTTCTAAATATTTCAAATTGAGGCAGAGCATTTGTCATTGTAAATACACAGATCTCCTACCTGACTATTTTAAACATTTACTGAGTCATTTTCTTGTGAATCACCTGATTTATTTTTATTTTTGTAGTTGGGGACCCCAAGCTGGTGCTAGTTCCGTGCCTTGTAAAAGTCACCAAAAATGAGGGAACAACTAGCAAAATAATTCAGACCCAAATATGCTCGAAATTGTGTGATTTTAGTCTCATTTAAGGCCCGTTTGGGGTAGCTTATAAGTGCGGGCGACATTTTCAAAACGCTGTCGTACCGTTTGGTTTGCGCGTTTCGCCAGCTTATTTTGAACTGCGTTTGGGTTTTTACACTAAACGCAGACCGCGGGTCGAGCCTTGCGGCAGGCCCGCTGGCCGCATTTCAGGATAAACAGCTTATCTTGAAAAGTTGAAACTGCCCCAAACACACTCTTACTCTCGCCGAAACTAGTTGTCTCAACCACAAATTTATTGGAATCAGAGTTCATATATTTTTTGAAATAAGTTTTAAAACATTTCTTATTCAATTTTAAGTAATTTTTAAATAAAGCAGTTACATTCATGCCACACAATTCTTATCTATTTACTTATCTAAGACCCAAACTTTCATATTTACATGCATAGCACTTAAATCTTTAACATAAAAAATACAACTATAAATTTTTTTTAATGTGAAATTCACTTTTTTTATGCATAGCTTTATGACACCAAAGCGAGATAAATGTAAATATGGAAGCTCAGGTGTTAACATATGTCAATACATAATAACTGTGGCATTTATGTAAAATTTCCTTTTTAAATCCATAAAGCTGCTTTGAAATTCATGCTCTATCAAGTTGAACTTTTGACGCAACGTAGATGTTCTTGGGCTGTCCCACAAGCAGGTGATGTCTTTCTCGCAAGCATGGCATGTTGGCTGTTGAAAATCTGATAATATTGATACTGTGCTTTCTCATAAAAAAAATATTTATAATCCTGCAAAGAAATCTTGCATAATTCACCATAAAAAGGTCTATCCACTAATAGATTGTTACTTGCACGTTGCTATTTTCTATTTTACCAGGCAGCTAATTATCTCAACATAAAAGGTCTTCTGGACCTCACCTGCCAAACAGTTGCTGACATGATCAAGGGCAAGACTCCTGAAGAGATACGCAAAACCTTCAACATCAAGAATGATTTTACTCCAGAGGAAGAGGAAGAAGTCCGCAGGGAGAACCAATGGGCATTCGAGTAATGTAATCCATCATTATTTGATAGAAAAAAAAAAAAAATCTGGATATTAAATTTCAATATATTTATTTTGAGATTAGTGTAATGTTTGAAAAAAAAAAAAATCATTTAAAAATTTTCATTGCACTGATTTCAAAATAGATGTAACAATTTGATCAGAATATTTTCAGTTTTTTTTTTTTTTTAATTTTAGTTTTATTTATTTGCATTTTGATGTGGTAAACTTTAAAGAACATGTCGAACATGTGGTGTATTTTCTTATCTTTTGTATCTTGTAAATAAGACTGGCTATATCTGTAGCTGGGGATTGCAAGAACATTTGTCCAGTGCCAATTTCATTTCTGTTTTTTGTTTTGTATTTTGGGGGGCTTGTACATGCATGCCACCAAATTCTCTTATGTATTTCCTACATATCTAACATCTAAACTGAGTTTTTACATTTGTAACACCCGAATCTGTCATATCGCATAAAAAAGACTTCTTTTTTTAATTCGAAGAAATGATGTAAGGTGGCATATATGTAAAAATTGAAGTTTTGGTTTTAGATATGTGAATGCGTAAGAATCAAGTGGTATGCATCATGCTTGTACATGTTGCTTTTTTTTTTTTAGCTATTTCAATGTCAATATGATTTCCTTGGTAATTGTATTGTGCAATTACTAAAATTTTATGCAAATAATTTTTCTTGATCTGTTGATATTAATGCAATATTTTTTCATTTTAAATGGTATTGGAAATTTGTCTTCAATTGATTTGTATGGTGTTGGTGAGGATATAAATGAAGCAGAGCCTGCCAAGGTAAGGAAGATGTCTAGTTCCGTTGCGTTGTAGTGAGTATTGACATCTTCCGAAGCTGTTTTGTAAGAACGAAAATTTCTTTACGTTTTAGATCGCAGAGGGCCTTCTCCTCCGTTCTGACATTTCGTTCGGAAGAGATTCCTTGAATAACAAATGATGCCGAAGATCTGAGATGCTCGTCTTAATTTGTGTTTCTGTAAATGAAGGGTATGTATGCAAATAAGAAGTTATTTTAGGGAAATATTATTGTGTATCTACATCTAACACCTGATCGGATATTGTACGCAATAATTTTTCCAAAACTTGACGGGTAAAAATAAATCTATATTAAACTAATCCGACTCGAATCAATATGAATTGAACGCAATCTATTGATTAAATTTGTAAGGAAAAAAAAAAACAATTTGAATTAAACTAATCTTAAGAAAAAAAAAAACAATTTGAATTAAACTAATCTTAAATTCAATTAATATCAGCCTGACCCAAGTAGTTGTTTCAATATATTTAGATTTATGCGGGCATAGAATGTGATATTTTTCAGGTAAATATCGGTTAAAATCAGGTCAAGTATGGGTGCTTGAATCGAATTCTGATTTTTGGCCAAGTTTAGGTTAAATTCGGGTCAAGTTGAACCTGACCCAGAAATAAAAAAGTTAAAATTTTAAATCTAAACTAAAATTAAAATTTAGGAAAGTAAGAAATTACTTGTATTGTAGAGGTTTTTCAAAGTTCTTGTGTTTGGTTTGATGAGAAAGAATGCAGCGTAAAATTTTGGTGAATCTGAAATTCTAAGTCTGTGCATTTCAAATTTGTTAGATTTGATCGATTTTCAAATACAATGCAAACTGCACTCTCTTGCTGGTCGCTTTCTTCGTCGTTACAATTGTCAGCTTCCTGCCAGCCGCCATCACCGAATATGTTATATGTTGATTTCATTTTTTCTTCAAACCAAATATATAAATATAGGCTCTTGCATTTACTTTTCACCATATTAAAAGGCATTAAAATATTTCAATTAAATTATATTTCAATTACACTGCATTGTGTACAACTGAGTAGAAAATAATTTGCTTCACTATTAATCCATGCAACTCTTGGTTGTTATTACTAAAAATATTTAAGATTTAGCCCAAAAAAATATCAGGAGAGTTTTTGTGTTGCTGGCTCGCCCTTTGGAGAAGATTTCTGCGTTGTTGTCGCTCTTTCTAAAGGATTTTTTTTTTGTGCTGATGGTGTACCTTCTAGAGGAGATTTTTGCAGTGTTGTCACACTTTTTTGGAGAAAATTTTCTACACTGCTGTCACATTTTTTAGAAGAAAATTTTCTCTGTTGTCCACCTTGAAGAAAGAATTTTTTCGCTATTGTTGCATTTTTTGTAGGAAATTTTTCATGCTTCAAGATGTCAATATTTGGGGAATCATGTCCCCCTAAAAATCAGCAAAAATACCAGAATTTTGAAGAGTCAATGCAAACACCCTTTGAAGATGAAATGACCCTTTCTTTGAGGGCATGGAAGATTGAGCTTGCGTAGATCGACCATATCCTTAGTGAGTACAAGAAGATGAATAACTCCCTTGCAATAGACATATTGAATTGGGATGTCAGTTAGCAAGGTAAGGGAATAAAATATCATATATGATAGTTTTCTTTTCTTAACAAAACTGAAATTTGATGAGTACTTGAGAAGAACTGAGAGTGACACAGTTAAAACTCGATCAAAGTGTGGATAATTTGCAGGATTTTTAAGTGAGGGTGTTAAATCTTCAAAGGGAGAATATAAAGCTACAGTTGCAACACACGAGAGGAAAATTTCGACAATGTTTCCAACAAAGAATTTCCAGACCGTACCGTCAACCTACATTTGATCTCGAGATGTCCTTCATCCAGGTGTCTAAAGATCTCCTTTCTAGTTCGAAAAGGGTCTAACTGAAAGTGACTTGTAGGTGCATATTTCTGATGAAAAAGAAATTTCTAGAGTAGATTAGTACTTTACATTTGTATGTTTGTATTGGTGGCTTTCATTTTGTCAACTTACTGTAGCTTTTGTACTAATGTGTGCTAGTCTTTATAGTTTTTTTGTATTTGAAGTAGTTAATGTGTTAGTTTATGCAGCTGTTTATTTGCTTAATGTAGCTTTTACACCTTGTGATAGTGCACATTTTTGACCTCGTATTATACTTGTTGAGTGTAACTTTTGTTTTATACTACAACACAATCTTGGATTAGAATACTAAATGACGAGCTGAGAGTTACAAAAATTTTTTAGAGTTACTCAAATAGCATTAACATGCCCCGAGTTGTGTTACCAGAGATGAGAAAACTCAGGGATGCACAACGTATCCTAGCTTGTTAATATGATCACCTGCTTGATGATCGTAAACTATAATGGACGTTGTCGATTGTAATCCATTAAGGATGTAAGACCCGTCCTAGGTTTTATAGTCATAGATGCTCGATGACTTTAACATGTTATGGACAAAGACGAATGAAATTCACCAAGCATTTTTTATCTATCAGATGTTATTAGTCGAAGCTTTTGCTTGTTAGCCATAACCTGTTATAGAAAAGGTAGAAGGGAAATCCACAGAGGATTTCTACCTAGTGTTAAAGATTTTGCTTAACGACAATAGCTTGTGAGAAAAAAGGTTGAACTGAGTCTCACTGGGACCGATTAAGCCCAGAATAAGGTTTCAGATATGTTCTACATTTTTTGAGATTAGGTTGTAGTTTGTGATGGACTAAATTTTTTCTTGAAAATATGATTGTGCCATAAAACACTTTATAGCTTTTTTATTGTTACTTTTGATTTTTTTTCTTTCTCAATAGTGATGTTGCCCACATAAGCTTGTAAAGTAGCTCATGTATTGAATCTTAAAGAAGTCAACTTCTTGATCAAGGCAAGAAAAAAATCTAATATGGTGAGGAGGCACTTAGGAAGCGCTATTTATGATGAAAGTTATCCATGGTCTGGAAATGATTATCAAAGACTTGATGTCTAAATGAAAAATGGAATGACCACTCAATCTCAATCATGTCTGGGATGTTAATGTGAAGGATCCTTTGAAACTGCAGTGAATGTTTCCCCTCAGTCTGGAAGTAGTTTCCACAGTCTGTGTCAGAATGAGATGTCAGAAGACTATCCCACAACAATTGTGCTTAGAATGTTAACTTAAACGACCTATCAAAATTGTAATGAAGGTTGTTCCCTACGTCGACAAACTCAAGGTCTTGGATTTGAAGGCTATGTCGAATGAGTCTTTGCTTCTCACTGATAATGCCAAACTGATTTGTGCTAGAAGATACATGGTGGTAGAGTAATAATTTAGCATTGGACAAAGAGCCAACACGTACAGATATAAAAGTGGAGTACAGGAAGAAGACACCTCAATTTTATACTTAGAAAACTTTGGAAAGGGAAAAAATCATGGAGCATGGCCCTGTTGAATAAATTCACTATGTAATTGTAAGCACGCAGACCCACTGTCCTCTTGAATTGGAGAAAACAGATTTATAATATTGAGTAAACTGGTAGTTAAAACATGATGCAAAGGCTATATTGATTGCTATGAATGCAATAGCCTCCCAGGAATGTTTAAGATAATGATTGTAGCACCAGCTGGTTGTAGAGGTTGTAGTTGAAAGTTAAAGTAGTGGGTCATGATGGTCATAGATGGTTGTTTCAGTAGCGTCAGTTGCCAAAGAGGTTTTAGGAGGGGTCTGTAGAAGTTGTGGGCTACATATGTAGTAGTTGGTCATGTATGTCATAATAGCGAGCTGCAATGAAGTTTGCAAGATGCAATTTCCGTAGTTGGGAGTTACATAAGTTGTGGATCACATAAGTTGTAGTTGCACACTTAGGTTGTAGTAGGGATCTATGAGAATAGAACTACAGAATTTTGGAGGAATTTGTCATATCTAAGTATGGCTGGAAAACGTCGTTGCTATCAGGAGTTATCATCAAATCACCAATACTTGTCAGGAGTTATCATTAGATCATCACAGTTGTGTTGGCATTCCTCTGTGTCATGCACAAGGTCCCAATGGTAAGCACAATACTTCTTGGGGTCCTGGAGGAAAACTCTGACTTTCGTTGGAAACGTTCTCTTGAAATAATTGTTATTTTGAATGGTCTCCACTATCTTGGCTATCGAAACTCTCAACAGAGTTGTTGTGGGCACTTCGAGGTTAGGGAGAGGGCGCTCATTGTACTGAGCCAGCTGTTAGTTAGAATACTGAGGAAAACTCCCTTGTTGGTATGTTCTATTGGTTGCCCTGTGGTTCCGAGGAGGCCGAGTGTCTTCGTAGCAAGGGTGAGTAGAATGATGTGAATCATGCCTGTCTCCACGCATAGACTTGAGGCCCTCTTCTATGGACGATGAGTGGAGGACTCTATTATGGATGAAATGAGACTGGAGTGACTACATCTTCGCTAAGATGCATTTGTTGGTCAGCTCCAGCAACTCGGCCAACGTATGCAGTCATTGCAGACCTAACACATACTAAAAGGGTCCTTCCTAGGGGCGTAAACGAGCAGAACATGAGCGAGCCC